CCAAATCATCCCAGCTCAGCTCAGCCCAGCTCGGCTCAGCCCAGCTCAACCTGGCCCAGCCTGGTCCAGGTCAGCCCAGCCCGTACCGCCCAGCCCAGTTCATCCTGGTTCAGCTCAGCTTGACCAAGCTTAGCCCAGGTCCGCTCAGCCCAGCTCAAATCAGCTCAGCCCAGCCCAGCCCAGCCCAGCTCATCCCAGCTCAGCCCCGCACATCCCACTTCAGCTCAGTTCAGCTCAGCCTAGGTCAGCTCAGTTGAGGTCAGCTCAACTCAGCCCAATCCAACCTGACTGACCCCAGCGAAGCCCAGCTCACCCTAGCTCAGCTTAGCTCAGCTTAGCTCAGCCCAGCCCAGCCCAGCTCAGATCAGCCCAGCCCAGGTTAGCTCAGCCCAGCTCATCCCTACCCAGGTGAGCTCAGCCCAGCTAAGCTCAACTCAGCTCAGCTCAGCCTGGCTTGGCTCAGCCCAACACAGCACCCTCAATCCGGTTCAGCTCGGCTCAGCCGGGTTCAGCTTGGCTCAGCCCAGTTCAGCCCGGCCCAGCCCAGCTCAGCCCGGCCCAGCCCAGCTCAGCCCAGCTCAGCTCCGCTCAGCTCATCTCAGCTCAGCTTAGCCTAGCCTTGCTCAACTCAGCTCACCTCAGCCCAGCTCAGCCCAGCTCAGCCCAGCTCAGCCCAACCCAGCCCAGCAAAGCATAGCTCAGCCCAGGTCAGCCCAGCATAGCTTAGCTCTTAGTTCTCTAGCAGGCTTAGCTCTGCTCAGCTCAGCCCAGCTCAGCCCAGCCCTGGTTAGCTCAGCCCAGCTAAACTCAGCTCGGCTCAGCTCTGATGACCTCAGCCCAGCTTGGGTCAGCCCAACACAGCCTGCTCAGCCCAGCCCAACCTAGCTCAGCTCAGCTCAGCTCAGCCCAGCCCAGGTTAGCTCAGCCCCAGCCCAGGTTAGCTCAGCCCTAGTCCAGGTTAGCTCAGCCCAGCTCAGCCCCTGCCCCGGTTAGCTCAGCCCAGCTAAGCTCAACTCAGCTCGGCTCAGCCTAGCTTGGCTCAGCCTGGTTCAGCTCAGCTCAGCCCAGCCCAGCCCAGCCCAGCCCAGCTCAGCCTAGCCCAGCTCAGCCTGGCCTTGCTTAGCTCAGTCTAGCCTTGCTCAGCTCAGTCCAGCCCAGCGCAGCTCAGCCTAGCCTTGCTCAGCTCAGCCCAGCTCAGCCCAGCTCAGCCCAGCTCAGCCCAGCCTAGCCCAGCCCAGCCCAGCCCAGCAAAGCATAACTCAGCCCAGGTCAGCCCAGCATAGCATAGCTCAGCCCAGTTCAGCACAGCTCAGCCCTGCCCGGCTCAGCCCAGCTTAGTGCAGCCCAGCCCAGCTCAGCTCAGCTAGTGCAACTTAGCCCAGCAACTTAGCTCAGCTCAACCCAGCTCAGCTCAGCCCAGTTCAGCCTTGTTTAGTCTAGGTCAGCTTAGGTCAGTTTTGCCCATCCAAGGCCATTTCTGAAAGCTGGATGGAGTTGTCATGGCTGGAAACGGTCAGCCCACCAGACCTGCTTGTCTCAGCTAAGGCCGTCTCATTGCTAGGTTCCTGCACAGGCCGACTTTCATCTTTTGTCTCCCTCTACTTGATACCCCAGTTTCCTGCAGTCCTGCCAAAGCAGTACCAATCATTACCACCCTCCACTACCTGGGTGGAATATTTCTTTGCTGCTTTAAAGTTACTAGAACATCTTCAGAATTAGACCGAGAATTTAGGAGCCTGTACTGTGATAAAAATGAGGAGCTCCCCTTGCTCTAGAATCGGCAGCATAGCTTCTGCACCGAGAGGAGGGTACTGAAATGCTCAAAGCCTCCACCTTCTCGGAGCATCTCCTCCCTTCTGAGTCTGAAATAAACCCCTGCCTTTAAATTCCCTCTAGATAACAGTCATCATTGGAAACAACCAAGAAATGCATTTTATCTGAATTTGCCACTTAAAATTCTGCCATTTACCGCAAATCGCTTTGGAAGGCATGGGCTACTTTCAAGGGCGCGATGACCTAAGTCAATGATTTAGACAAGGGCGATGCCAGTGGGGTTGAAGCATCATGACTCATGCCATCCGAATTCAGAGGTTGCGAAAGAGCTCGGGTGACCTCTCCGTCAAATGGGCTTTAGGGAAAGTTAAATGGGAGTGACCCAGACAATGGTCAGTCAAAAGACTCACACATATGAGTCTCCTGCTCTTCATCAAGCAAAGACCAATTCCCCTTCTAGTGCAAATAAGACATCAAATACAAAGGTTTAAGAGAAGCGAATGCAGCAGCGGCGGCTGCCTGTCTCTTACCATGTCGGGTGTGTAGTCACTGCGAGCCCTGCAAGGCTTTGGCATGGAATCGTTCCTCCAAGTCCATTAACAAGGGCTGGGTCCTGAGCAGCCAGTTGGCCTGGTGGCAGAAGCCACTCATCCCAGCTCTGGGTAGTCCGGGGAGACCCAAAGCCCAGCCCGGGCCTGGCAGGCAGCCTCCCAGAGCCTCCGCTAGGCCAGTCTGGCTGAAGCCGAATCGGTGATTCCGAACAGAACCCGTCCTTCTAAGGTGTCTCCACAGTCCTGTCTTCAGCACTATCTGACTGTGTTTTCTCTTAAGCCACAAACTAACATGTTGAACTGAAATAATTCAGGATAATGATGCATATTTTACCTAAAACTTACCCTAAAGTGAGCAGTTGAAAAGTGGTCTTGAAAAACAACTAAAATGAAGGCCACTCTATCAGAATATCAAAGTGTTTCTCCTTAATCACAGAGAAAACGAGTTAACCGAAAAAGATTGTGAACATAGTTATTATAAAAATAATGCTCTGAGGTATTGAAAACGTGTTTGAGATTAATTATCACATGAAGGGATAACAGACTAATTTTAAAAGTTTTTTGAATGCAGTCATAAACTCTCCCTAAGACTGTTTAATTTCTTAAACATCTTACTGTAAAAATGAATGCAGTTTAGAAGTTGATAACCTGTTTGCACAAACTAGCAGTTGATAAGCTAAGATTGGAAATGAAATTCGGATAGTTAAAAAAAAAGAGCCTTTCCAGTTTCGGTCAGCCTCGCCTTATTTTAGAAACGCAAATCGTCCAGGTGTTGTTTTGCTCAGTAGAGCACTTTCAGATCTGGGCCCAGGCGAAACCACCTCTTCACAACCAGAAGTGATAAATTTACCAATTATGTTTTTTTGCTTCCTAAAATAGACTCTTGCGGTGACCTGCTTCCTGCCACCTGCTGTGGGTGCCCAAGACCCCCATGCAGCCATCTTGACTCTAACTCATCATCCGCTCCCAGCTTCACTCAATTAATTAAAAAAATAAACTTGATTTATGATGCTCAAAACTCAGTCCTGCATCAGAGCCGACAGCACTGTGCCAGTATTTCTTAGCTAAACTTACTTTGGCCCTAACTCCAGAGACATACCACTCATGGGTGTTAATCAAATGATAAGAATTTCAAATACTTGGACAGTTAAAAAAATTAATATACTTCAAAATCTTTCACATTTTTAAGTCATAATTGTCTTAACCATTTTTCTCTGGAGCCACTTCAAACATATCCTGTCTTTTAACATTTAATAAGCACGACTCTTAAGATGAACAATCCTTTTCTCTTGGAAACCAACTCCAGGGCACTGAGCTCCTGGGGCCTCCCTAAGCCTCTGTCAGGACAGCAGCCACCCATTCTGGACTACCCGTGCCCCGACCCTGCTCTCATCAAGACCAAGGCTACGCATCCGTCCTGGCTGGATTCACCCACTCTGACAGTTCTCTTTCCAGCCAACAAAGAATTTAAGATGCAGGTTGGCACACAGCGCACCTCATAATTCTAAAGAAAATGTTTCATGATTCGCTGTGTGTGCAGCGATCTTGCAGTCCTACAGACACTGCACCTGAGACACATTCCTCAGCCATCACTAAGACCCCTGGTTTGCTCTGGCATCTCGTCCAAATGTGGCTCCCCAAGCCCCCAGGCTCAGTTACTCCATCAGACACATCCAACCTAAGTCCCATTTTCCAAAGGCATCGGAAAATCCAGAGGCTCCCAGATCCCCAAGGCACCCCAGTGCCCGTCCCCTCCTGGCCAGTCCGCCCAGGTCCCCTTGGAACATGTCCCGAGGACCAGCCTGAAATGCTCAGAAAACCCCACAGGCAATAGCAGAAAACAAAGGCCCTAGAGTGGCCATTCTTACCTGAGGAGACGGTGACGACGACCCCTTGGCCCCAGGCATCCAAACCGTAGTAATCACAATGGCAGAATGTCCATCCTCACCCCACAAAAACCCTGGGCGCCCGGCTCGCATTGTTCCCAGCCACCCAGAGACCTTCTGTCTCCAGGCGTCACATGGAAGCCGACTGTCCGTGTCCCTGTCCTGCCCTTCTCATGGAACCCTCCGCTGGCCTCCCACATACCCCACATTCTGGCCTGACCCCTCAGAAGCCAGACCGCTGTCGGCCTAGGACATCCAACTGCAAGCAGACGGCTGACAAGTCACCCCCAGGAGTCCAAACACCCCGGCGGGCACCCGTCCCAGAGAGCGGGTGCCTTGGAGTGGGACAGAGCCCTACCACACAATCGTCACCACAGCCCCTGAGAATGCTCCAAATGAAGCAGAGTGGTCACCCCAGACCAGCCAAAGGAACCCCCAGCTGCCGACATCTGTGGCTGGACTTGGGGAGGAGACGCTGGGTTCCCATTCGAAGGGACCCTCTCCCTGGCTTTCTTTCTTGACCTCCAAAGTGCCTCCAGGACTCTGACCCTGAGACCCCGGCAAGCCGAGTCTCCCTAAGTGGACTCGGAGAGGGGGTGGTGAGGACTCACCTGAGGAGACGGTGACCAGGACTCCCGGGCCCCAGACATCGAACCAGTTGTCACATTGTGACAACAATGCTAGGACCTCAGGCAAGAACTGGCACCCGCTAAGTCCCTGGGACCCTCTCAGACGGAGCCCGTGGAGGGCCCGGGGGGTTGTTGGGCTAAGGGACCCCAGAGGCCCAGGGTGGCCCTGACCACAGAGAGACCCCTGCTACTGGGCTCAGGAGGAGGGAGCGTCTGGAGCCCTTGCCCCTTGTCTGTGTGGCCGCTGTCGCCTCAGGGCGTCCTCCTGAGCCCCCCAGGCTGCTCCAGGGCTTTCTTGGCAGGAGACCCAGCACACTTGTTTTCCCCCAAAAATGCAGCAAAACCCCTCAGAGTTAAAGCAGGAGAGAGGTTGTGAGGACTCACCTGAGGAGACGGTGACCAGGACTCCCTGGCCCCAGTACTCAAAGTAGTCACGTTGTGGGAGGCCCCGTTAAGGGGTGCACAAAAACCCTACTCTCCGACTGTCCTGGGCCAGCTGTGGCAGCCAGCCCCGTGTCCCAAGGTCATTCTGTCCCCAGCACAAGCATGACTCTGCCCACCCTTTGTCCCAGGAGCAGAGTCCTGATTCCCAAAGAAAGGCCTTCTGCTGAACGTGGCCCTGCACAGACCAAGGAGCCACTGGACATTATCTCCCAGCTCCAGGACAGAGGACGCTGGATTCAGAGCAAGGAGGCAGAAAGAAAGCCATCTTACCTGAAGAGATGGTGACCCTGAGCCCTTGGCCCCAGAGATCAAAAGCATCACACAGGGACACAGTCCCTGTTCCTGCCCAGACACAAACCCGTCCCCATGCAGGACACTCGAATGGCTCACATAGCCCAAGCACAGAGCAGAGGCAGCCGGTGTCCCTGTCCCCAGTCACACAGATCACCAGGCTGAGACCCAGGCTGGGAGGGGTGATGTTCCCAGCCCTGGCCCCAGCTCTGCCCACAACTTCTCCTTCCCATCCCTGCCCTTGGCCTGCTTGCCATCTGTGGAGGGTCCCTGATGGGGCTGAAGCCCAGCGGGGTCCCTGACTGTCCTTGGGGGCTCTAGCTGGCCCCAGGGCTAAGTGACAGCAGGGCTCTGGCATGCAGCCCATGGCAGAGATCCCAGGGATGGCAGCTGGTGTGGCCTCAGGCCAGACCTAGACCAGCTGCAGACCCCAGAGACCTGGCCTGGTGCCTGGACAGAGAAGACTGGGAGGGGGCTGCAGGGGGACTCACCTGAGGAGATGGTGATTGGGGTGCCAGGGCCCCAGAGATCGAAGTACCAGTAGCACACCCTCCGCCCTCCTGCCAGCCTCCTTTGCTGAGCACCTGTCCCCAAGTCTGAGGCCAAAGCCCTTGCCTGGCCCAGTACACCTGGCTCCCCACTATCCCCAGACAGCAGACTCACCTGAGGAGACGGTGACCAGGGCGCCCTGGCCCCAGAACTCGAAGTATTCAGCCACAGTGAGTCAGCCCTGAGCCAGGGGCTGCAGAAACCCACAGCCGGGGTCCCTGGAGGGCATGGTTTTTGCAGAGCTTCCTATCACTGTGTCCCCAGTTAGCACAGTGGTTCCCAGCTCAGCCAAAACCCTGCGGCTGGTAGGGGGCCTGCGGGGCCTGGGGCTGGTCTGGCTGCGGTCCCCAGGGTGGGTCGGGTCCAGGGGCCCCCAGCACCTTTGGCAGTGCTCTCCCTTCCGCTGTTAGCCCCAGAACATGCGGGAGACCCCAGCCCTCAACCCTGCCAGTCCCTCTTGAGTCTCGTGCCAGTCATTTGCTGCCGTTGAGAATTATTAGAGTGCTGAAGGCTGCCGATTGTGTTTTTCTTTTTCTTATGTAAATTAGAGCAGATCTGAAGCTGGGTCAGTCACGCCACCTCTCATTGCTTGCTTTCTGAGTTGTTTTCCCAGCTGCAGAGAGACCCGGGTGGCAGTGGCTGGGGGAGCCTCCTGGCCTGCAGGGCCACGGCCCCCCCGAGGGCTCCTCGCTGGCCCGCAGGGGCAGGGAGCCTTTCCTGCTCTGATCCCGTCTGTGGGGCCCGGCGTGGGTTGCCTGGCTGGTTCCACCTATTCACCGATGTTCCACTGAACGGGAGGCCTCAGCGGGTGGCGCTGGGTCTCACTCACCACAGAGCCCTGGCGTGGGCTCCCTGTGTGTCCACTAGTGTTAGGTCCCTTCCCTGCGCCTCAGCTGGTCCTCAATGAGGTCTCAGCTCTTCCCATGGCGGGTGCCAGGGAAGGTGCAAGGTGGTCTACAGGGAGCCCCTCCCCAGGCCCGCACTGGCTGCCTTCCGCCGAGTCTGGGTGAGGGGCTTTGCAGGCACCACTGGCCAGACGCGGGCTGGGTGGGGCCCTCGGGGAGGCCGAGGCCCGTGGCCAGGTGTGAGCATGGGGGTGTGCCCGGCGAGGGCCTCTGCTGGGGTGAACTGATGGGCACAGGGTGTCTGGGGGAGGGGAGTTGCCCCTGCAGGCTTGCTGGGGAGGGTCTATGTCGGGGCAGAGTTCCAGGGAGAGGAATAGGCAAGGCAAAGGCTGGGAGGCTGGGACCTGTCATTGGAGGTCGCAGGTGGTTTGCTGAGGCGGGGTGGAAAGGGGGCCCGAGTGCCTGGAAGGGGCTGAAGGGTGCTGGGGGCTTGCTTAGAGGCTGCTCAAGAAGACTCCCTCAGGCACCGTGCGGGCAGGGATGAGGGGTCTGGGAGGGAAGCCTGGATGTGGGGAGAGGGTTGGGGCTCCTGTAGGGGTGTGGACAGAATGGCGGTGGTTTGTGGGGTTTCCTACAGGGGTCCAGGCAGGACGGGGGACTCTGAGGTACTGTCTGGGGCAGTGGATCTCTCTAGACATGGTTGAACAGTTGCCAGCATGGGGACGGAGTCTTAGGCTGGGAATGGTGAGATAACCCATCTCTAGCCATGAGGGGCTGAGAACCCATTTGATTAGGGGTGGTTGGGCCCTGATGGCCAGGGAGGCACCTGTGAGGGGGCGAGGTTGGGGAGTGAGGAGGAGGGTGGTCTGGCGCTGGGGGAGTGGTTCTCTGGCTTAGGACTTCTGGCCCTGGGGGGCGCAGGCAGGGTCAAGGGTCAAGGGTCAAGGGAGCAGGCTGAGGGTGGGCTGTGCCTCACGCCCCCATGCCTGGGCCTCTGGATCCCTGGGCTGGGGGAGGGAGAGCCTGGCCTTCCCTCTCCTCCTGCACTGGGGTCCTGCTGTCTGAGGAAGCAGTGGGGTTCTGAGCTGCCCTTTGAGACTCACTTGGGCTCACAGTTCGTGGTCGGACTCCTTGAGCCCCCAGACCCTTTCCCAAGGCTCTTCCTCTGATGGTCTCAGCTCTGGGGCCTCCTGCATCCTTTGCAGGGGTGAGGGGTGGGGTTTCCAGGTCCCTCCAGAAGCACTGGCTCCACCCCTTGCCCGCATCCAGCCCTGCCCTGGCCCTGCCTTTTCACACACTTCAGAGGCCCGTTCAGCTCCAGCAGACGCGCAGGCACATGAGGCCCCTGTATATGGTCCCTGTGTGCAGATCTGTGAAGGGGCCAGAGACCCCCATGCCCATAGCTTTGCAGGTGTCTGGGCCCAGCTCCTTCCACAGCATCCTGTGGCTGAGTCCTGGGAGCACACCCTCTGCCCCCACCTGCCACAAGGACACACCAGGGAAAGCACACGAGTGTCACAGACATGGTGGCTGGATTGTGCAATGGGTGGCCAGGGCAGGGCCCACAGGCCAGGTCGAGTTGGCCCCCAGCCTCTGCCCACAGCTGGCATCTCCTGGGGTAACTGTCCCCCTTCAGGGTCACTTAGCCTGGATGACACTTCCTGGCCTGGCTGCCCTGAGCAGGGCTGGGAGCTGAGCTGAGAGCTGCAGCCCCAAGGGCAGTGGAGAGGGCACTCTGCTCACATGGCCCATGCACTGTTAAGGATGCAGCCTTTTGATCCTGCTCTGCTCACGTGGCCCATGCATTGTTCAGGACATAGCCTTTCGATCCTGCTGAAGAAAGTCCTTGAGCAGGAGCAGCTCCCCGGCTGTGACAGGGCCCTGGACATCCAAGCCAGAGGGAAAGGCCAGGGGTCAGCAACAAGGGAGGGTCTGGGCCCAGAAGCAGGGGGGCAACACCTACTCTGGGCACTGAGTCTCTGGACTGTGCCATCCTGGAGAAGGAGAAGCCAGAGGCGACCCTTGGCAGGGATGGTAGGCCTCACTGGAGGACAGGGCACTGCAGCAGGTCTCCATGCCTTCCAGGCCTACGGTGCAGCTTGGCGAGCTGGCCAGGCTCCAGGTTGGCGAGGGGCTGGCTCTGGGCTGGCTCTGTGGTGGGCCAGATGGCTGGAACACAGGGGTATCACTGTGAGGAATGACGCATTCTGTCACTCCCAGGCTGGGGAGAGCGCGTTGTATCCCTTATATCCGAGGCTCTGCTTCTGATGGTCTCTGCTGCTAGAGATGTGGTTTCCACGCTTCCACTGCTGCTCCTCCAGCCCGGCACTCTGCTCTGGGAGGAAGGCCCTTCCGGGTAAAGCCACAGCGGAAAAAGTCTTGCTGTTTCATTTCCCAGGTCAGAAGCAATGCAGGAGCACACCACTGCTACAGCTGGTGAATCTAGAGTTTCTCTCCACTGACACCCAATTCCTCCCTGAGAGGACTGGGAGAGTGAGGAGAAGGTCTGAGGAGAATCATCTTCCCTGGCATGGAGCTTGACATTTTGTCCCAGAGGAAACAGTGGAATTTGCTTGGGGTGAATTTTGCCCAAGTTTTTTCAGCTTTCCCTATTTTATGTGTAATAATCTTGGGGTCCAATTTGAATGTCTCTTCCTTTTAATAGGCAAGTTAAGACCATTCACGTTTGTTGTTTTCATAGATCTGTTTGGCTTCAATCTTAGTAGTTTATGTTCTCTATTTTTATACTTTCAAAAGTTTTCCATCTTAAGTTTTCTTATTCTTTGATAGCTTCTACGTGTAGTGGCTACCTTTATAACTTTCCAAAATATTCTTTGTTCTTCTTTGGATAGTATACTTTAGTTCTTTACCATATACAGGTATGAAATTACCTGGTTTCCTCTTCCTTTTCTCCTCCATCTCTAGCATCATATGATTGTAGTCAGTAATATTATTTTCTTAAAATTTGTTTGTAGTGTCTAATATGCCAGATTTGATTTTACTGATGTCCTTTGGCTGAGAGTTATTTGGAGTGGGGCAGTAATTCAGAAGTGCTATCTCATATTCTGTGTTTTGATCATTGTAAAATGTCCACTTTGTCAAGCAGACACCATTTCACCTCTGTTGAGGTCACACAGTCCCCCACAGTCATTTCTGTCTTAGTCTTGCAGTTAAGGACACTTAATATTTACTTTTAGTTCTTGGCCCTGAGTTCTCCAAGCACCTTTTGATGGCTGGCGGTCTTCCTCTAGTAGTTTTATCATGAGATTATGGACTATAGAATGTTTGGAACTCCTTTTCAGCAGCC